GGGAGGGGGGTTCTTCCTTTTTCTTATAATTTTTTTTATTCTTCAAGATTTTTCCTTTTTTGTCTTCCTTTTTTACCAGTGAATCATTTCATATCCTAGTCTCCCAGTAAATGCTACTTGCTAATACTACATCGTACAAGTACAGAAAACACAGTCGTTACGCGTAACGTCTATTTCCATCATACTTGCATTCCCATAATCTGTACATGTGATATGGCCTTCTCACCCTCGGCCCCTGCAGGGTGATAGAATTTATTTGGGTTCCCAACTACGGTGTACGTCTAAGATCCGTACTCGCACATGCACGTACCCCGTAGTCGTCATCACTCTTCATGTTGAGTAGTCAAAAGATTGCGTCATGTGATTGGTCACGGGGTCTGTGTGCAGGTGTGTATCGTACGTGTCTGCCGCCGTCACTGACCGCTGAGTCCTGACCAGCTCGACCGGAGAAGGGGGCCAGCCAGCCAGTCTCCTTCCCCTTCCTGAACTCTGACCTCTTGTCACTTTGATGAATTCTGCCTGGAAAAGGCGTCATCGGAAATCTCCTTGGTGGCCCCGTCATTCCGTCATCTTCTCGCTTGATGTTGTCAAGCCACACACCGCCGTACATGTAAGCTTATCTCGACCCCGGCCCTTGCCATGTCCGCAATTCCGGTATTATCCTACAGACTACGGAGCATTTCTGCTGGGCTCCAGTTTGTGTACTGTGTGCCCTGCTGTTGCATTGGCCGGTAATGGTGCAGCGAGACTTAAAATTGTGTGTGGAGTTGCGCTGGTCGACTTCATGCCGTCGATGATAACGACTCCCTATAATACAGATTCACAAACCTCCTCCCTTTAAACTTCTGTTTTCCCTTCCGTTTCGCTGCAGAACGACAGATCGCTGAATACCAAGGTAGTAGATATCAAAGAGACTCTGTCGGAGATTACGTGTACCTTCATGCCCCGTGGCCACGCTTCGCTCGGCAATGAGTCCACCCCACCGACCGACAGTCGTCATGGCGTATTGCTCCGTCACGGTCTCCCCGGCCGCCACCATGCGTATGGGACAATGTGCTCGTACGTCCGACCGGGAGAGGATGTTGTCGAACTGTTTCTCATGACCCTGTGGACATGGAAACATATTCCCTGGGTTGGGACCGTCTCTACTTGGGCTGGAGCCATCGTGGTGACTGGATTACCGTGTGCCGTCTCAAGACACGCCGCGTCGTCGCACGTCTCCGGACAGCTCTGCGTGAGTTGGGGCAGGGGGGACGGTCCTGCGGCCGGCAGCGATGCGTCGCTCGCCTTCATCCTAGACATCGCCGACGCGGTATTTTCCAACGTGCCCGAGATCGACATGCGGCTGACCTCCTCGTCCAAGGCTGTCCGCATCCATGGCGCGGAGCAGTCGTGTAGGCTGGGCGGGACGTCGGTGTCCGACGAGAGCTCGGTATACTCGTACTCGTAGATGCGTTTAAGCCCCCGGAAATCCTCGACGTTGCCATTCGCCGGAAGTGTGTCTCTCGACAGTGTTGGTAGCGGTTTCACCGCCGACGGTTGTGATCCATCGGCGTCAGCATGCTCACAGTTGGCAGACTGGACAGCAAGGATGGAAAGCACGCTTTTCTACACAGTCCAACTCTTGCTATTGAGCCGCGTCATGAGAACTGCTGGATAGAGTGAGTGAGATAATGCTGGTAGGTAACGGGATATACGTAAAGCCGGCTGTGTCGTAGGATGGTTGAGTATGATGATGACAAAGGAGAGGGTGGATCGAGAGGAGAGAGATCAAGGTGATGAAAAACATGCTTGGGGCTGCATCATGCAGTTGCGGGAAAGAAGGACAATGGAAACTGCCGTCTGGGGAGGAGAGAAGGGGGTAGCGTAAAAGAAGGTACGCCTCGGATGAGAACAGGAAGTTGCCGACGATCATTACACGTCACATATTCCACACGGAGCAACTTTAGGGCACACATCATTTATCCGTAAAAACACCAGACATTGACGACGCGCACAGACCTACGAACCCATGGAGAAAGAAAGAAGATGATGAAAAAAACCTGCATACGTAGCCAAATACTAACAGATGCACATCACATCAGACACATCAACTAGAAAACACACTCCCAGCTGTCCGGGACCGCCGGGTCTCCCTCGCCCTTGTACCTGTTCCGCCTCGGGTACCGACAGTGCCTCCTGCTGATATCCGTCTTCCCAGCCGCCGTCTTGCGGCTACCGAGGATATGATCGGGAGCAACGCCGTCCTCGACCCACCGGACCACGGCGGCCAAGACGTTGGCGTCGGGGTCGTAGGTGGCATAGGTATCCTGGTCGGCGCCGATGAGGTTGGCGCCGCTCCCGCTGTTGCAGTGCCCCAGGCCGGAGATGCGGAAGTAGCGGTAGAAGCCGTCGAGGTCGTCGGAGGAGGCGTCCATGGTGCGGGAGACGTAGTCGTAGTAGCGGGCCGAGTTGTCGCTGCTGATGGCGGGGTCCTGCAGGCCGTGGTAGTGCAGGATCTTGGTGCCGGCGTCCCTGGCGGCCGACAGGTCGCCCTCCCAGGTGGCCGAGTTGAAGGGGTTGAGCTCGTCGGCGGCGACCCAATCCTGGACGTTGAGGGTGGCGGGGTCCCACGTCTCGTCGCCGTACACGACGTACCGGAACCAGTCGGTCGGGTAAGGGTGAGGCGCGCCGGCGAACAGCCCGGCCGTGGAGTTGGCGCCCGGCTGGAAGCGCGGGTACACCAGCTCGCCGTCGGCGCCGTAGACGGGGGAGAAGATGGCGCGGACGGTCTCGGCCTGCTCGCCCGTCAGGCAGCCGGACGACCGGCCGGACCCGCAGAGGAGATTCTCCGGACGGTACTGGCACAGGTCCGGGTCCTCGAGTATCCCGTCCTCGAGACCGTCGAGGCCGTCGCACTGCTCCAGGATGTCGGCGTACACGAGGTCCCAGGCCGCCGAGTCGAGGAAGCGCGGCGAGTCGGTCGACCCCGTCTTGATGAACATCTGGCCGGTCCAGTACATGAGGGCGTTGAGGTTGAAGGCGGGCGCGCCGGCGACGATGCCGTCAAAGTCGGAGGGAAAGTCGTGCGCCGACTTGAACCCCTGCCTACCGCCCGTCGAGCAGCCGAGGTAGTACGACTTGGTGTGCTCCCTGCCGTAGAACTGCCGCGCGATCTGCTTGCCCAGCTCGGCCTCGAGGTGGATCGAGCGGTAGACGTAGTCCTCCAGCACGCCCGGGTTCTCGTAGAAGGGCCGGCCGGACGTGCCGTTGTGCCCGTTGTTGGTGCCCACGGTGGCGAAGCCGTGCAGGGAGCCGTAGTCGAGGTGGTCGTAGTGGATGCACCCGTTCAGACCGCCGTTGCCGGTGCCGAGGAAGCGTCCGCTCCAGTCGAGCGGGAGCCAGGCTTCGAACGAGATGTTGCTGCTCGGGCTGGTCGTGATGAGCATCGTCACCCGGCAAATGTCCGAACGCACGAGCTGCGAGCTCGGGCCGCACGTCGGATCGTTCTCCGCCAGAGACAGGTTGGTACCCGCCGGGATGAAGCTCGTCGAGTACACCGTCGTGTTGTCCAGCTGCAGCCGGTCGACGAGGCTGCTGCACTTCTCCCCGTCGGCGGAGGCGGATGACGTCGCTGCGGCGGCGCATCGGCCCAGCCCGGGGGCCAGCGCGCACAGCGGTGTGAGTAGGTATTGCGAGGCCTTCATGTCTTCTGCGACGGCGACGATGCTAGTAGTGCTGCTGCTTCCGTTTCCGAGAGTCGGGGGGAGCGAGAAGGGCGCGACGCTGACGCTATTTATCGACATGGTATCCAATAATACCCAGGGTACTGACTACTCAATCGTACGACGAACTGCCGTGGCATTGATTGACCTTGCTCGTACTCGTACATGTCGGAAAAGCTTAACCCAATTTGAGAAAGAGCCCCGACTTCTCCACGATTATCAATGCCGTTCGGGGAAGCAAAGTGGAGTTGAGGTTATTATTGACCGCATTGACGGGCTCTGGGGGTCGGAAAATACCTCTCACGAGTCACAACTATTGCAAAGCTGGCAGGGGGCAGAGTGTGTAGGGAAGGGAGATGCTACCCAAGCTGGGTAGCTCCCGTTTGCAGAGTCCAGGTAAAAGGGGGATCTATGGCTTATTATTATTGCTTGGCAACGTCTGAGTGTGCATTGTTTCCCGGATTTAAAACAAACGTAAAAAGCCCATGTTTATATCGGAATTAGAGGCAGCATAAAAAAGAGATGCGAACACCGCACACGGTCCCATGCACTTCTTGACCCCCGCTCCCCCAAAATTCCTAGATGGAGAAATATTTATCCGACCCGGACCAGGGATCAACCGTCAACGCCCAGCGTGAAGACTGATGAGCGAAAAGGGAGCAAGAGACACGATAACCGCGAATGAGGACACATCATCACCGGTGACACTACAGATTTACAACCTGAAGACTACAACTTCTTATTCATACGCAATAAATATATGCACCTTTTTCAGGTGCTGCTGCCATTCAGAGGCCGAACAATAGTGGGGTACTCTAGCATGTTAGTTTGGTCCCACCTTTTCATCACGGTCCATTTGGCCTCCATCGTCTTGTTAACCCACTCTCCTCCTTCTAATAGATCAGATCCCGTCGTCACCCTCGATGGATTACAAAGAGCTCTACGAACAGGCGGAGCGCAGGCGGCAAGAAGCTGAGCGCAGGCAGCAAGAAGCTGAGCGCAAGCAGCAAGAAGCTGAGCGCAGGCAGCAAGAAGCAGAACGTGACGCGATCGCAGCCGCCGACGCTCTCCGCACCGAACGTGAAGAGAATGCACGTACTCAGTTTGGTGAGTTGGAAAGAGCATGGTCACGCTCGATAGCCACACCTGCTGACAAGACCAGACCGAACGATGGAAGCCTACTTGCTCGATATCGACTCTATGCACGAATACATACAACGGTTAATACCCACGCCAGCCAAGAAATCCAGCACGCTCTCCGAGGGCCAGAAGAGCCAGTCTTCCACCTCTGGCCGTACTTCCATCTTTGGGAAGTACTATCCGCTCAAGATCCGCCCGTGGGACGATTTCCGTCACTTATACCGTGACGCGTTCGAGCGCGCCCGCGTCGTCATCGGCGACTCATTGCGATTCCCGTCTATCCTGGATATGAGAGCGGCGAGAAGGAACATAGATGAGCAATTGCCACCTGCCTTCCTCGAGTCCGAAAGCTTCCGTAATGAGGCGAAGACCTCCTACATCATCCACGAGGCACTGCAGAGGCCAGCACAGCATGTCATGAACGCCTATCTCAATGCCGCCGGATCCCAAGTACAGCTCTACTTTGACAATCGCTCGACCGGTTGGCATGTCCGGGTCAGCCAGACGGTCGATGCGGAGACCAGCTCCGACATGCAGGGCGACGAAAGCGATGCGGGTGACGTAGCGCAGAAGCTACCGCGCAAGATGCAACCTGACTGCTTAGTGCTAGCCTCCCGGACGATATCTCCATCTGCCGAGGAAGGGCAGGGGAAGCATGCCGGCGAGCTTAGATCGGTCTACCGCGTCCTGATGGGCGAGCACAAGCCAGTACACCGTATCAGGGCCAAGACCCTTTCTCGCCTTGGCCAGAGACAGTTGCCTGAGGACATCATGGTTCAGCTTGCCAAGGCCAAAAACAAGACGCAGCACGGGGGCGCCTCGGACGTCGACGAGACGCATGGCCTTAAGTTGCCTTCCGGACAGATATATTTCGCCAACGCGTTGTCGCAAACGTTTCATTACATGGTAGCATCTGGTGTCGAATATGGCTTCTTGGCATCCGGCGAGACTTTGACCTTTCTCAAGCTATCCCAAGATGACCCCACGACCCTGCTCGTCCATTCCGAAGTCTACCCTCAATATTGTCAGATGACGGCAGATCAGCCCGACCCACCTCAGGAAGACACTAGAGACATACGTGAGCTGCCTGTGTCGCAGCTATGCGGCCTATGCCTGCTCGCATACGAGTCTATCCCCGAGCCAGCCCGGCAGCGGAGCATCAACGTATCTCAGCTAGCTCTCTTTCCGGAGCTGCCCTCCTCGCTCCCACCTGGGTCGAGCTCGAGTCGAGTCAGCAGCGTACGCGGACGGCGGCGACGACGGGACGATGGTGATGATGACGATGATGATGCTGGTGGAGGCCATGGAAGCCACGGCTCCCCTCCCAACGGGGGCAGCTCTCCAGCTAGCCAACTTCAGCCCTCAGCGCATCAGCCGCGGAAGTCATCTCCGCTAAAGCGTCAGCGTTCGGCCTCCCACCAATCGCCAAGACATCACGCGATGGGCAGCGGCGAAGTCCACGATCGGAAGAAGAGGCGGGTCGTCGTGTCGCCCACCCTCCCCAGCCCCTTCGACCCGTCCACCTTCAGGCCGATCAGGCCATACTGCACCCAGGCATGTCTGCGTGGCCTAATCCGGGGTGAGGATATGGATTACAGCTGTCCCAACGTTCTCCTTCACCGTCATGCCTGCCGTCTAAAGGGCCCTAGATGGGCGAGGCACGCTATCACGGGTGACGAGCTACGCGAGCTGGTCAGGTACCAGCTTTTTGAGAACTCAGAGCTCGATTGCCAATGTCTTCTCGACGATGGGGCCTGGGGTGCCGTCGGTTGCCTATTCAAAATCACGGTAACGGGTTTTGGGTACACCCTAGTAGCCAAGGGCGTCGAGACGCTCTACCACCGCCGGCTACGACACGAGGTAGAAGTCTATGACAAGCTGGATGCGCAGCAAGGGCTACTCATTCCCGTGTGCCTCGGCATGATCAAACTTATCCTACCCTACCCGATGGTCAATTGCACGTTAGTCACCCACATGCTGCTTATGTCGTACGCTGGTGAGCCTCTCTATCACGAACCATTACGCCAGGAGCTCGAGCGCATAGGCATAGACGCCGACGAGGAAGAATGGCGCACAACGCAGGAGCTGCGGGCCCTAGGGCTGATCGACGATGACGATCTCAGCGACGGCAATGTCATGTGGTGTGCCGAGACGAAGCGGGCCATGAAGATTGATTTTGACCAAGCTTACGTCTTGACGGTGAACAGCGACCAGGTCCGGAAAACGTCGACACCATCAAGGTCAACTGCAAACGGTGAGCTTCTGTCTGGCACGGATCAGGACGATCATCTGCGAGGCTTCCGTGGCAGCCCATCTTACTCGACAGTAGATTGTCTTCTGCTTGCTTGAACTAGGAGGATGCCCGTCTAGTAGTAATACCCAACTTGTAGTCATTCTGTATCGAATTGTAGCATTATCCCGATGATAGTGTCAGCATTCCCCTGCTTCTCACTATTTCCATCATCAGACTAATCCTAGAGACCGTTTCTGCCAAATAGAAACAGCATCCATCACGGTACAATTTGTATCAAGCGATTGTCAAATCAAAAAAAAAAAAAAAAAAAAAAAAAAAAAAAAACAATACTGGCGTTCCAAGCTTGCGGTAGGCACATGATAACGGAAACACTCTCTGGCCCCGAAGAACTCTGAGAGACTGAACTGTGCAGCTGAGATCAAGCCCATGTCAAACAGGCGACTGGTTCCGACCGCTGCTTCTGCACTGTCTGCAAGATGACTACAGACATGTAGTAGCTGGTCCGGACACCCGGCCAAGATTTTGGTGGTCACTGATGTCAAGGTCACGGCGCCGAAGCTTTCTCCAGAATAGTTAGCACAAAGATGCCGGCCAAGATCCGGAATGGTCCAACGTTTCTGTAGCTTTACGATACATGAATGTGAGGTCGTAGGTGTAAGTCCCACAACCTATATGGATTCTCAGCAGAGATGAGTGGCTCTGATCTGTTGCCTTTCCCTGCCTGAAAACCCGAAAACCGAGACACGATGAGCATGTGCTCCGTCGATTCAGCATGAGCCAACGGACTCGAGACAGAGATCCAAATCGTCACTGACACGGAAATTCTACTGCAGCCATATGATGTCACACCTCCGGACCGTATATTGACTGGCGGGCCTTGGCATAGAAGTCCAACTATTGCCACGTTCTGCTATCAGATCAGGTACTTGAGGAAGACCGCCCATGCACTCGCGATGATAGAAACCAACAGAGTGAAGGTGAGAGCGGTGAACCACGGCTTCGACCTCCTGCGAGTCAGAGGGTCCGAGTCTCGATCCTCGATCGTGGCCTCCTTTGCCTCGCGCTGGTGGAGAGTCATGGTCATGCCCTTGCCGAGGCACTTGTAGTCGATGAAGATGTACGACAGCCCAAGCACAAAAGCCCAAGCCTTGATGCCGATCGCCACCAAAAGAACCTTGTAATAACCGTTATTCTTGCTCCCGTCTTGCAGGACACCAAAGACGACATCCATCTAGCATGGCAAGGAACGTCAGCAGTCGAAAAATGCAGATGCAGAATGCAAGGCACTCCCCCCCAACGAAAGGCAATAAGTCACTTACAATAGTCGAGCCCGAGTTGTTGAAAGCCCTCCAGACTCCGAACGCGGTACCGATCTTGGCCTGATCAGCTACCAGCAGCGGTATGCAGATCTGCAGAGGCATGGAATTGATGACGCCCGCCAAGCTGGAGAAGACCAGTGCAGCTGTCGGATGGACATCGGTGAAGCCCAGGACCGAGCAGGCGATGATCCAGAGGATAGGCGCAGCCGCAACGTAGTGGAATCGGTGGCCATACCTGTCGACGGCCAGACCGAGGACGGGGCTCAGGACGATCGGCAGTATCTCCTGAGCGGTGGAGAGATAACCGGCCACCTCCTCCGTGTACCCCTTGAAGAAGATGATGTCCGCCGAGCTGGTGCTGAACCCACCGGCCGCGCCGCTCTGCAGCAGCTGAGTGGCCGGGAGCATGAGGTAGGCCCAGGGCAGGGTGAGCAGGCTGTTGAGGGAGAAGCTGCGCTTGCTGGAGAGGTACTTCTCCGTGATGGCCGCGTCGCGGCCCGGGGTGAGCCTGTATTCGGGGGGCACCACCAGACGCTCGTAGCAGACGTAGGCGACGTTCATGATGAGGGACCATGCGCAGAAGACGACGGGGATCCAGAAAGTCCAGCCGTACCATCCGGTATTGTTCCGGATGGGAATGGCCACCATTCCCGACACGAGCCCGACCGTATTCGAGACGGCACTTTCAAGTCCAAAGGCCAGGGCTAGGCCGGAGGCACCGAACCAGTGATAGAAGAACTTTTTTTCCGGCAAAGAAGCAGAAGAGTGCAAAGATGATTAGCCTTTCGGATAGATGTACTGGGAGCTGTGTGTGTGTGTGTGTGTGTGTGTGTATAGGCACCTTTTGTGTTGCCGAGTCGAGAACGGCGATGCCGAAACCCATAAGGACATGGCCCGAGACGAGAAGCCTCCAGATCCCAACTTGGACTCCGACGGCAGCGACAACGGAGCCGATGAGGATGATGGAAGTGCAGCACAGGGTGATGATGTTGGGGCCCCACCAGTCCAGGATCAGCCCCCCGATGATGGGGAAGACGGTGTTGACAAAGGCATCCGCGCTGCTTATGACGCCAAACTGCGTGTTGTTGATCCCGAGCTCTTCTCGCAGAGTGTTCTTGAGCGGTCCCAGGGCCGAGCCTGTCCAGGTGTGTCCTATGGGGAGGGTGATGACGAGGAGGAGGGCCGTCCATTTGTACTTGAGAGGGATGTCGAGTGGGTTGAATGCCGCTCCGTTGCCGGCTCCCACCTCCTCAAGTACCTGTTCCGGTTCCTCTTCAGAGACGACCGTCTTGACGGGAGGGCTCTTCTCCATTGTGGATATATCTTTCTCGATGAGGGAACTACAGATCTCAGATGGGAAGGTAGGGTGTGAGAGCCCACCTCCCTTTAATAGACCTGGCATATTGAAATCTCTTCTCTGCCTCTTCTCTGCCTCTTCTCTCTCTCCCACCCAGACTGCGGCGGCCGATGCCGCCTAGGGAGGGTACAGGATGATCCACCTGGTGGATACATCTCATGTAAACGTTGTTTGACTGTCCAAGCTTATTATCAGATGGTGCTAGGATCAAGGGAAGCAGAAGAAGAAGAAAATTTAAGGTTATCTTGGATTATTGAGTGCTTGGCAGCTTGGCAGCTTGGCAGCTCGGCAGCTTGGCAAGAATCCCGTTGAACCAGGTAGTTGGGTCTAGAGGAAATCTTCTCCATACCTGGCAGAGATTTTGCACAATACAAGATATCCATGCACGCGTCCCACATAGCGACGTCTAGTCCCTTGTTTCTCCTATCCACATACGCTCATCCAGTTGGATACGAGTGGGATGATTGATAAACACGGAGGATTGTTCCCGTTCCTTTCAAAATCCTCGCTCTTGCGTTCTTTTCAGGAGTGACGGGCTAGAATATTCTCAGCTGCTGGATCCGCTTTCTTTGTTCTCGGATTAGATGAAGTTGAGTTGCCATGATTCGTGGTTTCTGCTCGTCTTGGAGAGCGCCAAGATTCGACTCGGAGTTTCGGATGCAGTATTGTCTGCATACGTTCTGACCGATGTGCTTCCCAGCGAGCTGCCGGCTTCCCTTCTCGTCACCTCTCCAGAGGCCATCCCTACGATGAAAAAGGCGACGATCAAGGGCCCGTATGGTAGGTCCCGCCGACGTACAGTAGAGTGGGTTGCCCGCCATATGCGGCTGCGGGCGGTTCACAGACGACCATGGCTAGAACGTCACGGGACCCTCGAAATCGGTTATGGGCCGTATCGCTGTACCGCTCTGGAAATCATGTCAACAGCTACCGATTAGTATTGCCTATATATCAGAGGCTCAAGCACGGCTTCTATAAGAGCAGGGATCAAGCGGAAGAAGCCCTTGATAAGGCACGTGGTGGCTGGTCGGCATCTTGCGCTAGCTCTACACAGCCTCAATCAAGGAAGGCTCCGTGCATGACAGATATTCGAGGGAGTCGGAGGACATCCACCTTACTTGTGTGTTGGGCCTTCAAAAGTGGAGAGAATAGACGGTTGCTGCGCTGACCAGGGTCGAGGCTAGCAACTCATGGGTTGTGTCCGTTGGCTTCCGCGGCCCGTCTAGACTCTACTCAGATGATAGATCGTGTTCTGCCATGGACCGTGGCCCGTGATCTCCCCTTGTCTTGTAGCCGAGTAATAATATCAGTGCATACCCCGTACAGGTGGCAATGCATAAATCGGCCATCATAAAGCGTTAAGCTGATGAGCATCAACTGGCTTGGGCCGCGCCCATGGTGATACCATCGCATTATTCCTCCAGGAGAAAAAGAAAGAAAAAATCACCATTTCCGTCAATCATTCACACATGTAGAGTTACTTTCGTACATGTGAATCCTGCTCGAGACCGCTTCGAAACATGCCACGATATCTTGACATGGTGCCTTCTCATCTTCTAAGTCTCGCAGGCTTCGCGCCTGCAGAACAAGCTGTGGACAGTTCACAGAGTCAGGCACAAATCCAGAGGAAGGAAAAGAGAGGTCTTGGCAGCGCACGAAACAAGACTTTACTCTATACCCGCGGTAACGGCAGCGAGAAGTGAAGTGCTGAGGCCGAGGCTGAGGCTCACCCTGACGATGATATTGTCACTCACGCCGCCCGTCTTCTTGTCCAGGAGGGGACCGTCACCGTCAATGTCCTCCCCCCCCGGGAGTCTCCGTCTCGGGTCTGCCGAACGACATGGTCACGGCGACGGCGTCGTTTCCAGAGGTAACTGCTCTGCTGACGGCAGCTTCGGTGACGGTCTCGGCCCATGTGGGGTCGACACTAAGATGGCACGACAGCGTAGAGAGTCTGCGTCGTGGTCGACTTCATCTTCGTCTGCTTCTCCCCGCGGGGCGGTTGATGGTGCCCGTCTGACGGCACTGATAGGCTATATAGACCATATCCGACTCTGTCGACGTACCTGTCATCTCGACGCCATCACGCGGTGCCCCGGCACCTAGGCTAGCTGTAGGCGTGGTGCTGGCAGTCTGGGAGGCCCGGCTGATGCATGCGGGTTCACATGGGATCACATGTCCTCGGGAGGAGGAGGTCTCGGTGGGAGAGGTGGGGTCCCCCGATACCGACATGAACGCCTGCTCCGACTGGAGGTCGCCATGGGTGGTTAGGGCACAGTCATCCCCGTCCTCGTCGCCAGGGTAGATAGTGGTGGTGAAATCGCCAAGGTTGGCGTAGACCCAGGTCAAGAGCCCAGCCGGGCAGGTCCAGTACACGTCGATTCCGAGAAAATCGGCATCAGCAGCGAAGTCAGTGCTAAGAGGTAGCGGGAGAACGGCCCTGAGGACGGTCTCGTCCGACACCACCTCGACGTGGAGGAGTTCGGGTGTGCCGCCATTACCTTGCGCACGATCGGTCTCTGAACATGTAGAAGGCAGCAAGCGACGATGCGTGAATGTACATGTACCACCAAGTCAATATCCGCTGGGTTTCCGGAGAACAGGACGGGTCTGGACAGGGTCGGTGATGCTGTCTCGGATCTCTCCGAGGTTACCGTCCGCCTCCTGCATCGCATCAACTGATGTTGAAGGACGACTCGCCTATGGTGAAGCCGGCAGCGACCTCTTCCTTGACGCAGCACGTCTCGCAGGTGGCGGAGACTCCCGCTCCGCCATTCAGCGAAGGCTGTTTCGCGTGTCGCCGGTAGAGTCTAGGGTCTCACCGATTCCCGACGAGGATGATGACGATGTCAACCTGCTGAAACCTCTGCCCCTCGTCGCGGCCATGACGTCTTCCATGTGGCCACCGTGGAGTGATGGAGAGTTCCTGATATAAGCGAGCGTCATGCGATCGTGTGAGGACGAGAGTTAGGGCAGCACGCATACACCTCTCTCGGAAAGAGCGGCCTTGTCGAAGCTCTTGTCCAGAGATGTGCTGTTCTCCTATTCCTCCCCGCCGTCCCCGGCCAGAAGGCTGAGCCGCCTTCCAGAATCGTTGGCGGCGTGACGAGATGCTATCGAGTTGGGGACGGAGACGTCTGGTGACGACGAGCCAGCCACATGGGCTGCCAGCATCGCCAGAGAGGCGGCAAGATGAGCCATCGCTGGCAGCACTGCAGTCCCTATTTCTAGCAAGTCTGAGAAAGTGTAGGTGCGTATTGGTTCTGATCGGGTAGTGAATGCGAATGTATGAGGCTGGTATCGAATACGCTTCACAGGCTTCTCCCAAACTCCTAGGAAAGGGACACACCCCAAGTTATTACGTCCCCCCCCTCCCCCCTCCTCGAGTACTGTATAGAGAGAGATCCCGGAGCCTCATGATGACCTAGCTATGTTTTCCTATGATTCTCTTCTCTTTTCCGGTGTGCAGGACAGGTATATGCACTTTTAGTAGTATGCATAGTTCCCGATCCTGGGCGGTCGAGGCCTCGGTTCGGTCGTTGACCCGACCACATCACTGCTATTCTCATCGCCACCCCGGGATCCTGATGGAGGAGGACTCGAGAGAGGGAAGGGAAACCTGGAGGTCTAGCGTGTCTGAGGCATATTATCCCATGCCTAGGTGGGACTGTGACGATAATGACAAGTTATCCATCCTCGCACAAGACAATTCCCAGCCAAAGATGCAGGGTAGATCTTGCCTAGGTGAAAGAGGGACGGGGGTGGACAAGGTTATAATATAGGCTAACTATTAGTAGAAATTTATGGGATTCACCCCGTCATGTGGAGTATTGATATTACAGACAGGGGCATCCGCACCAAAAATATCAACTAGTAATATTAGAGTAATACTAATAGTAGTAGTACGGAGTAATCTGCAGCATTCACACGCAATCGACAGCACTGACAGAGAAGAAAAAAAGAAAAAAGAAAAAAAAAAAACAAGAAGAATGCCGATACCGAGCGGCGGAATAATGTCGGGAAAATGCTCATCGAAGGTTCCGGATCGGAAGGAGATTTATCCGGATAACTGTTCACTGATGTAATGCTGCAAGAAGGCTTGAAATCAGGCCTTTTTCTAACCCTTGTTATTGATGTGTATATATATAACACGTATACATATAAATGACATAGTGACTATATAGGTGTTCCGTTTTAGTAGGGAAAAGCTCTCACCGGACCGGAATAACATCTTCTAGTGGCTCATTTAGCTGTTTGATCCGTCAGAGAAGACAAGCACGTGATTTTTCTGCCCATCAACACTAGCTCGCTCGGTGAACTGCCAATCATACAGCGACTTCGCAGAGATAATCTCAGTCGTCGTCGTCGGCCCATTCTGCCGACCTCGTCACCAGCGGATTCTTACGTCAAATAATCCGTAGAAAGGCTTTACTCTGGCTGTAATCCATCTCATCAGTCAGCGAGTATTGATAGATGGCATCTGTCTCGATCAAAACCTGCCTTTCCGATCATCTTCTAATCTATGGAGCCATGAAGGTGGTCGCAGTCGTGACAGCTTACCCATCATGATCACATGGAACATCTGACGATTTCACTCACCGGCCAGCAGCTGATGGTCTCGTTGGTATCGATATACGCCTGTTTGGTCCCTTACCACGACGTAGATCCCCCCTCCTCTCCCTCCTCCTCTCCTCTCCTCTTCCCCTCTCTCTTCTTCTCTTTATCATCATTATCATCATTACTCTTATTGTTCCATCTGATCATAGATACTGCACAGATTATGTAGTATGACTCCGTAAAGTTCATCACATCGTCACTACGTACGTAACAACACACGCATTACTCATCACTTATGCATATCTGTATCTTGGTAGACAAAAAAAAAGAGACGTCATTTTTTTCTGCACTTGTCAGCGGAGGTTCTACTCCTTCTCTCTAGGACTATCATCCCCCCTTCTCTCTCCTCTCTCTCTCTCTCTCTCTCTCTCTCCCTCTCTCTCTCTCTCTTTCCTGTCGAGCATTTATCAGGTACCTAGCTTGGCTGACTGGGGCGGTGAAGTGAGCCCCCTTGCGGAGTACGAGTACAGACTACAAGTATTGAAGTATTTCTACTGTCACTGCTCGTCCCGAGACACCACCACCACCACCACCACCGCTTTCGCCCCGCCGCCGGATCATAGGAGGGAAAAAAGTAAGCGGAAAAAAAAAAAGGCACAGAGGACTGAACAGCTACCCGCCGTCGTATAACCCAACCCCGCCTCCCCCATTTTCTACTACGGATCACCTAGGAGAACAAAAAAAAATAGAAGAGGAAGGATACACACGCACATACACATAAATCCAGATAGGCAAGACGTCATGGCCGAGGTCGCAGCTCCCCCCACCAAGCAGAATGCCTTCACAACCACCACTGCCGCCACCTCTAGGCCGCAGCTGTCCAACTCGATGCGCAGCAACTCGTACCTGAGCGATCATCAGCAGTACCGCCCACCAAGGCAGCCGGAGCCCCATCAAGGCATCGACACGGTAGTCGAGGATGCCAATCCCAGCAGCAACAAGAAAAATAGCAGCAGCAACAACAGCAGGCCGTCGCAGGGCCTTTCCTCGCCGGGTAGCGTGTCGCCCAAGCCCATCCTCCCCTATCGCGGCGTTCCGTCCGACGAGCAGCCCCCGGTCATCGTCGACTCGGGTGTGACGCACAGCCTGTCTCATCCCAACTGCGCGCCGCCCGCGGGGGTCAGGTCGGACCGCCTGGTCGCCACCCTCATGTACAAGCAGAGGAGCAGCAGCGGTGCTGGCAGCAGCAGCAGCAGCAGCAGCAGCAGCAGCAGCAACAGCCACAGCCAAGGGGCCGGCATCACCGGCGGCGGGTCGGGCACTGCCGGTGCTGCCCCGGAGAATAGCGACTCCCTCCCGTCCAACATGGCCCCGACGACGAGCATCGACGCCTTCCCCATGGAGCCGCCGACGCACGAGGGCGACAAGCTGGACCACATCTACGGGTCGTACATATCCCCCCTGTGCATCACCTCCTTCCTGCACCTGATGTCGACGTTCCCCGTGCCGCCCGACGCCGACGAGCTCCACTCGTCGCACCGCTGCCTCGACAACCAGGAGACGCCGCGGGTGGTGGAGCTGACGCTGTCGCCGTCCCCGTCGCCCGACTACCTGTCGCTGGACGACCTGCGCAGGCACGAGATCATCTACCGCTTCGAGCAGGAGTGGAACGTCGACGTCAACCTGCAGCGCGAGTCGATCCTGCGCCGCCACCCCCGCCTGGTCGTCTTCGACATGGACAGCACCCTCATCACCCAGGAGGTCATCGACCTGCTGGCCGCCACCATGACCCACCGGCCCGACCTGGCCGCGCGCGTCGCCGACATCACCCGCCGCGCCATGCTGGGCGAGCTCGAGTTCGAGGCCTCGTTCCGCGAGCGCGTCGCCCTGCTCAGGGGCGCCCCGGACTCGATCTGGGCCGACCTCCGCCCCGTCCTGGACGTCACCAGGGGCGCGCGCGACCTGATCCGCGCCCTCAAGCGCCTCGGCGTCAAGACGGCCGTCCTCTCCGGCGGCTTCCAGCCGCTCACCGGCTGGCTGGCCGAGCAGCTCGGCATCGACCACGCCCACGCCAACCACGTCGTCGTCGAGGACGGCAAGCTCACCGGCGAGGTCGAGGGCGTCATCGTCGGCCGCGAGCGCAAGCGCGACCTCCTCGTCGAGATCGCGGGGAAGGAGGGCATCGACCTGTCCCAGACCGTCGCCGTCGGCGACGGCGCCAACGACCTGCTCATGCTTGCCAGGGCCGGCCTGGGCGTCGCCTGGAACGCGAAGCCCCGCGTTCAGATGGAGGCCGGAGCCCGTCTCAACAGCGAGAGCTTGCTGGATCTGCTCTACCTCTTTGGTCTGACTGCCGAGGATATAGATGTTCTTCTGGCGTAACGAAGCCTCTCCTTCATCCGGTCTGACGTGAACAAGGAATGAAAGAAGACAAGAGAATTGAACAAGAAAAATGAAATTTTTTGGAAAAGGATTTTTTTTTCTATGAGGGTGTTATGGGGTTGAGGAGAAAGAGTATTTGTCACTTTTCTTTCTTTTTTCATTCTTCTTGTTTTGTTTTTGGAGTATTAGGTCTACCCCCCCCCC